GATGATCTCAAAATCAAAGTGAAGCTAGCTGTGTGGGCACTCCCTCCCCACCCCCCCTCCCCACCCCCACCCCGCTACCCTCAGGGCTGTAAGCAGCATCTCTCGAATGGTATCGGAGGCCACTACCCGATGTGATCTGATCTGATCCCAGGAGAAAGCACTGTGGTCAGTTTTGCTTTCTGCAACAGCCGCTGGATAGAAACCCACCATTATGGGGGTGGGGGGTGGAATCAATGAACAACTTAGCATGTAAAGACTGGGGAGCACTCATGGGGAGGGCAGAGGAAGGAAGATAAAATGCCACTGAAAAATGGAGAACCTGTAACTAAATAAAGAACTTGTCCTAAAATCCATATGTTGTTTTCAGTTATTATGGACTTGCTATTTTAAAGAAAGAAAAAGAGGATGCTATATAAATATTCTATTATTCAATACAATTTTGTTGATAACAGGGCAGGAGCCATATTAGAAGTCTACTTTTCCATTCCTATGTTCTGGTATAGTATTACCAAGTTAGATAACCTAGGGAGATCCTTCTAGACAGGGACAAAAAAGACTGAGGACTGGGAAGAAACATAAAGTATAAATATGCTCATCAAAAGGGACTTGTGGTTTAATCTCTAAGCCATCTCTGTAGCCCTGGAATATAATTTTCCTAATCACAATAGCCCAATTCCTTTCTACTGTCACTTAAAAATAATCACTATAATCTGGAGTTAACTACTGTGGTGATTTGAATAAGAATGGCCCCCAGAGGCTGATATTTGAATGTCTGGTTCTCAGCTGGTAGACTATTTAGGAAGGATGGAGGTGTGGCCTGGCTGGAGGAGGTAAGTCACTGGGGGTGGACTTGGGGGTTTCAAAAGCCCATAGCAGGCCCAGCGTGCTGCCTGTGGATCAGGATGCAAGCTCTCAGCTACTTCTCCAGCACCATGCCTGCCTGCCTCCCGCCCCCCCCCCCAATGTCATCATGGACTAACCCTCTGAAACTACACAAGCCCCCAATCAAATGCTTTCTTTTGTAAGTTGCCTTGGTCCATGGTGTTTCTTTAGAGCAACAGAATAGTAACTAAGTATGTAATGCTCTGCCTTTAGTGAGTAGCAGGCAACCCTCTTTTTTCTGTATTGACCCATGAGAAGGTACAAACTAAGGCAGAAGGGGCTCAAGTGAGGAAGCAGGAACTTATAAACAAGGGACAAGCTCTATGGTGAGAGCTGTCTGGCCACCCTGCCTCAGCCAAGCGGGTCCAGCTGTGCGCTTCCTTTTGCTGGTGTCTCTCACGGTTAACGGTGATAGTGACAAGGAAACTCTCCAGGTCCAGCCACTGTGCAATGTGCTAAGCAGGGTGTTAATCCTGGGCCCGAGTCAGGCAGCCAGAGAAACGAGAACAATGGCTTCATTAAGGCACATCTGAGGTGTGTGCCATGGGTAAAGGCAGACTTGTGCAGCTTTTCTGGTGGGGATGTACACAGTTAATCACAGAGAAACCAAACAGAAGAACCGTGTGACTGAGGAGGAGGACATACGGATACTCCAGGTTTGTGCTGCCCGAAGAGGCCTTTTCTCAGGGCAGACTCGGAAGCAAACACAAGGTCACTTCAGCGGGTTTCAAGCCTGGTTATAAGTTACACTCAAGAAGCCAAAAGCTGCAGACCACAGGCACTGTTCGGCATTCCCTGCCTGGACAGAAGAAACCACCCCAGCGTTAAACCAATCCCAAGCTCCAGAAGAGAGGAGAACATGGGTTCTGCTCTCCCTGCAGAGCGTCCGTGGTGCTTTTATACTTATACTGGAAAGACCTTACATCTACGTTCTTGTTAGTTGTGTTTGCTAGTTAGCCAGTCACAAGCCAGGATCAATAGACAAACTAACCAGCACCCCTTCCACCTGGCCACCCCCAGCCCACCTTCACAACTGAAATACTCCCTGACTTCTCTACTTCTCGTTTAAACGGCCCTTTTAATCTCAATATTTGTTTTCCAAAAAAAGCAAAGTGTTTTAAACAACTAATACACAGCTATTTTCAACATCAGAAATGCATATTATATAAATACAGTTTTATAAGGTCTCATACACAGCAACTCATGCATAAAATTGGAACATGGATATTGTTCTCTCCATGATTTAATATTAAGTGTTACAGTTTTTCATTTCTACCAATAATGACCTCAGCTAGGGCCAGTGATCTAGGCCTTACACTTTGGGGATAACTAAACTGAAAGGAGAATGACATGATTCAATGATGTAAGTCAAATTACAGCATCAACTATAAAACTCAATCTACTGACACTGGGGCCGGAAACATGATGCGTTAGGAAAGTCTGTCCTGGATCCTTGGATAGTAGATCATATCATGGGTCAACACCTTTTCTTATGAGAGGCCATTTCCCTAGGACAGCTACGAGCAGGCGGACCCAGGAAACAGACATAAAGTTCCAGTGTCCAGCTATAGGCTCTGCACAACAGTGAATGCCTCGTACCTGAACTGTATGTAATAAGCCTGGCAAGTTTTACGTAAGATTTTAACAACGCATCCAGGTATCGATTCCTTGTATTGTATTCCAGTCATCCTTCAATCTATATTCAAGGAAAACATGCAGTACCTTTTTCTCTCAATATATTTTTGGTCCCTGCATGTTTAACATGTACCTCAGTGCTCACGTGTATCATACAAGGAGTAGCGCCTCATTCCATCCCTTCACGGAACACAGCCCGGCAGAGTTAAGAGCCAATCCAAAGCAGATCCAGCACTGATGACAGACCCAGGACTCTGGCCTAAGGTCCCCAGCCAGTAATCCTGGGAGCAGCCTCTATTCCATACCCCTGCCCCCAAAAGCATGCCCTCACTGCCTAGAACACCCCTAGGCAGTGCCTTTGCCTCATGAGCTCACTCTTCACTACAAGCCCATATCTCCCTTGGCTCTGTGCCCCAAATATCAGAAAACAAAGTCACAAGGTAAGGGTTTGGGGGTCTAGGCAGTTCTCCTTGGTCCAGGAAACAGTCCTTTGAAAAACCTTATGTATAGACTTTCTTAGAGAGAAACATAAAAACTCCCTTATCTTTCATTTAAGGAAGGAAAGAAAAATCTAAGCAAATGTGAGCCTAAGTCAGCTCGAGCTTATTGTCCTGAACCAGGCATATCTTGGAGACTTCCCACCCTACACACAGAGGTGCAGGATTGTCTGCAGCAGAGGGAAGTTAGGCTCATTATCACATGAAACTTCTGAAGGAAGTCTGTAGCAAGTCTAAGTGGTACCTTCTAAAATCCTGCTACTGTCTGGCGGACTGGCAGGGTTAGCTGCCCCTGGGAACCAAGGCACAATCTCAAGGCCCACTCCAGACCCACTCCTTCAGAATCTCCAATTCAATAAAACATTCAGGTAATCACTGCATGTTCAAGTTCAACATGAAGCAATCCAATGGGTGTGTGTGCCAACACCTTGCCTTCGTCCCCCATGGTCAGAGCACTGATTTTTAGAAACTCAGGAACTGAAGACGCCATTGAAAGCCCTACCGAGAAGCGGCCAGCCCTGGTTTTAGCTCCTCTACAACCCAAAGGCTGGGCAGGGAACTCAGACAATCAGCTTCTGTCTGCAGCAGGCAGCTCCAATTAGCGCAACAGAGAAGTAGAGACTAGACAGACCTCGGACAACGGCCTCGGGGCCTCACAATGCCTCAAGTGTACAGGCTAGGCTCTCGCACTGCCTCTCAGGCTGGAGGCTTTCTGACTTTTATTATCCACTCCAGTTGCCTTGGAAATTTACACTGATGTGGTTTTTATCTGCCAAAAATTAATAGTAAATAAACGGCAAAGGGAAAGGAAAGGAAGCACACTGAGATCTGCCCATCTGGAACTGGCCTGAGACCCTGTTCCTGGTAGTTATAGCAACAGTGACCTTGTTTGGATGTGTCATCCTGGCAGGCTTTTACAACCTTCAAGAAATCCCTGAACCCACCCATGCTCCATGCCGCACTCTCTGTGCTGGGATGGTGGTTCGTGCCCCCGTGCCATGTGCCTGCCTCCGCCGACTCGCCCCCAACATGCCACATTCTCAGGCAGGTTACTTATAGAGGCAGGGCTCTTCCAGGACGGTTTAAGGCCCTCAGTATTTCTCAGACAGTCTCAGGGAACATGAAAAAAACTGCTGGGACCTTCACAAGGCCCCGACGCTTGCAGAGGGCAAGGCTGAGAATGAGAAATTTCAAAGGGACAAAGTGAGCGTCCCCAGGGCAGGAAACGTTACACCCCTACACGGACTTCAGGCAAGCTCAGCTTTGTCAACATACTGTCAGACTGTGGGGTAGAGCACACAAGAGCTCACAGTATGGCAGACTGCTGGGGTAGAGCACACTAAGGCATAATCAGGAGAAACCAACCTTTCCCTGGGGCATGACTTCTGTATATCAGCATCCAAACAAGCATTCACCCCCAGCTCTCAATTCCAAGTCCAGTAAAATGAGTGAGTGCTGGTCATGGTCACCTGTGGCCCTAGTACTTGGGAGGCTGAGGCCCGGGGGCTGCCACAACTTCAAGGCCAGTTGGGCTACACAGTGAGTACCAGGCCAGATAGGTTGACAAAGTGAGACTTTGTCTCACAAAACCAAGCTGAGCGAAGTAAGTCATGTGGTCTCCAGCCAAGAGAGGTGAAAACTGAAGCCGCTTTTTAAAAGCAACAAGAATAGTGTTGGCAAATATTTGAAGTTAACTGAACTATTTAAGGTGTTACTAGCCAAGCATGGTGAGACAGGCCTGGGGTCCCAGTACTTAGGAAGGGTGAAGTTGGAGGTTTGCAAACTTAAGAATAGCCTGAGCTACAAAGTGAGATGTCTCAAAAACATAAACTTTAAATCTCATTAATTTCCACACACAAAAAAAGTGCACCTAGATTTCCCATAACCAGAAAAAGCATCTCTAATAACCTTTATAGACTCATTTTTATGAATCGTGTCCCCAGCATCAAGAGACAAGAGGACGACCCACGTGGGACGTCTTCTTACCATTCCGAGACACATCCAGCTCTACTAGCTGCATGAAGTTTGCTATTTCCGGGGGGAGCCGCTGAATTTCATTGTCACTGAGTCCAAGCTTTCGTAATTTGACTAGCTGGAAAAATTGCTGCAAGAGAAAATGGTGTAACGTAAGTTTCACATACATTTATTTGCATGACTCTTTGAGCTAAAATAACATTTCAGTTTGTCTTTTAAAACTAATGAGGACTGTACCCAGGCCAATTTCCTCATTTGAGCAGTAACCTGATCATATAAAGACATCATGGGCATAAACTGTGTACAAAGTACATATCATTTTTGCAGATTCCTATCCATCTACAAGTATTTAAAACTAAGAATGTTTAAAAAATGAATAAGCAACTTCATGAGAATAGATTGTCACATCTTCTATTTATCAAAACTAATATTAAAACTGTGATATTAAATACATATATGTAAACATAATGATTTATTTTAGAAGAACTTTAATTAAAACTACTGTTTATACAAAGCATAACACATTAATTCTATTGGTTTTAGATGAAATATGCAGACAGTGTCTGTAGCAAGTAGGAAAACATTTTGACCAGGAATCAAGTCTGCACTGGTTCCCAGGGCCAAAGCACAATGACTATGTAGTCTTTCTAATGCATCCTTCAACAATGTACTAAAATTTGTACAAAGATGAACATAAATATAAAAATATGCAATAAGCCTATGAAGACTACTGTTGTTGAAAGTTTTCCTGTGTCCCAGCCAATAATTAGGACAAATCTCTCCCACTCACATCCTCCAAGTACACAGAGGCTTATATTAATTAAAACTGCTCAGCCATTAGCTCAGGCTTATTACTGACTAGCTCTTACACTTAAACTCAGCCCATTCCTGTTCATCTATATGTTGCCATGTGTTCTGTGGCTTTACCTGTGTGCCATTACATGCTGCACCCTGGACAACAGGCTGGGGTCTCCTCACTCAGCCTTCCTCTTCCCAGAATTCTCCTTATCTACTTATCCTGCCTACACTTCCTGCCTGGCTACTGGCCAATCAGCATTTTATTAAACCAGTGTACAAAAGCATTATCCCATAGCATTTCCCCTTTTCTGTTTAATTAAAAAGGAAGGTTTTAACTTTAACATAGTAAAATTGCATATAAGAAAACAGTTATCAAGCAAGAACTATAGTTACAATATTTAGCCTATTTGTATTTGGCAAAATTAAAGAAAATATTCTATCTATCCTATATTTATGAATCTAGAGTTTTACATCTAATTTATCTTTTATCATAATCAAGGAAAATTATAATTATCTAGTCTTCAACTACATCAAAGATCCCAGAAGGATATAATATTACCTAAGTAAACAGGAAGTGCATTATAAGCAACTTCCAAAAATCTAGAATGACAGGGACAGCTGCCTGCCTAGACAGTCATTCAAAGTTCCTCTGTAACACTGGGGCATCCATCTTCAGCCCATAGGCCTAGTCTCTCAGTTATTTTTTTTCCTCTGTGTCCTGTAGAATGTCTGTCAGTTTCTTCTGTGAAGCAGGAACCTGAAGGGCTATCTCATCTTGCAAAGTTCTGTGATCATCTTTCTATAGGTCCTGCATGTCCAGTTGATACAACATTTTGTCAAACAGTCTAGGCAAGAACAGTTTCTTGCCAAATGGCTATTTTTGTGAGGAAGAAGATAAACTCCATATGGAGTGCTTTCGATGCTCATATTTTTCTTTGAAATAAATCGGTGCTGCTAGGAGCAGACATGTCTCACTGTCCAGAAAGCCTAAGTTTTAAAAACACTTTAAATGCCATATTCTGTAGGTCTTTGAAGTGTTTAAAGATTTCCTACTTAAAAGAATTATATCTTTGTATATATCTATGTATATCTAGAAAACTTAACATGACTATAAGTTTGACTATCATAGAAGACTAATTATTAATCTGTATTTCTTAATTATCCATTACAATTTAAATGAGTTACATAAACATAACATTTTAAACAAGAGTAGAAATATACATACAGTATAACAAAATTAACTTTAAATTTGTATCAATAAACTAAAATCTATACCAATGTAAAACATTTTAAACAAGTTGCTCTTTAAAAGTAGGTTCAACAATCCATCCTTTTATCCTATCATATCTATATCTTATATTTCCATATCAGACTACTAACACACAAAGCAAGAGGCAAACTAGATAGTTATGCATCAAAATTCTTAAAGCCAAAATGCAGGACAAATAATAATAAAGTGGAAGGAAGGAAGGAAGGAAGGAAGGAAGGAAGGAAGGAAGGAAGGAAGGAAGGAAGGAAGGAAGGAAGGAAGATAGGAAGGAAGGAAGATAGGAAGGAAGGAAGATAGGAAGGAAGGAAGATAGGAAGGAAGGAAGATAGGAAGGAAGGAAG